ATGACATTAATTGTCTTTCAAGAGTTTGGTTTGTAAGGATTGGATTTGTTTATACGAGTTTGACCACACACGGATTGATATCAGTTGGAGAACCATTGAAAACCAGGGAGTACTGGACAGCTAGCTGTTTCATCCTAGTTGGGGAATCATCGGCAGTACGCGCCCACCGGGGGTTCGAACCCAGGACCTTCCGGTTACAAGGTAAGCTCGTATACCATTCAGCCACTGGGTATTTGTCTATGATTATAATCACAAATATTTTAGTTGCATTTCATACTACTACTATTATTATTTTATGCATTCACACCTATGATTCAATTCCCTCACCGGATGTAACTTCTAAAAAATCCCATATAGGTAATCGCTGAATCACTTGTTTTGATTTTCTATGTTACAATGGGAATTTTCCATGATTTAAAAAATAACAAATACTCACTGGTGATACAGTACTGATCACATTTCGAGCATACTTAGTTATTCACAACAATATCAAGCTATTCACATAACCTTCAGGCCTACAAAATACTCAATACCAATACAAGTAGACAAGAGGATGAGAAAACCTTCAGAAACTGATAGTTAAGTCCAAGGTTACCTGGAGTTGATTCATAAACTAACAGGGAATTCTAAAACCCCACTTGAAATATTATTACCAGTAGAATAAAACGACAAGGATTGTTAGAACTACATAAAATAAAATCTGTAAGTTGTACAAGTACCTTGATATCTCCATGAATAATAAAATGCGATTGAAATACAGTCAGCAGATAGATATTGCATCATCAATATATGCGTATATGTGTTGCATGAAATAAAACCATTCAGTTGTAGAATTATTTCTCACAACAGTGCGAGAATTTCGTTTCTTATATCAATTCAAATAAAATGCCCTCTCGTGCTCAACAAACATGAATCCATACTTGATCATCTTTTCCTCCCCTTCACCCTCAAAACTTGACCATCACACCTAGTAGCCATCGGTGCATAAATCAAAATTCCCTCAAAACAGCTTTACTATGCATTAATAACACTGACAATATCAACTAGTATAAGACTAGAGAATGGTGAAAAACGCTAAGAATGCAGTGTCCTTAAAAGTTGACTTAGTGTATATTGATTTTAGCGTTTTTATAATAAGTGAATAGTTATCAGTATGCTTAATAGGGTACCAAGCAAAAATAAACATCTATGCTATTCAAAATTTTTAATTTACAATACCCGGGTTGTTTGTATGACTGATGATGATGAACGGAAGTCAAATGGTAAGTTTTACAAATTACTTTCAGGCGTTTATTATAAAAAGATTATCGTTTGCATTTAACACATGGTTTTAGATAGCGTTTTGTTTTTTATCGATTTCTTCTCACTATTCACTCTGTTAAATATGTCCATTCTAACAATAGAATTAACACGATGGCAACATACAACCTGTCTAACTCACTTCTGCATATATCACTACCAATTGATTCGCCTGACTGTGTAATTCAAATGACGGACAATGTTCACAAAGCGATTTGTACGAAACACTGCTTAAAGTAGTAGACCTTTGAATAAATTTAATTTATGATGTGATGGTATGATACAGACAATGTGTGCCAATGGAATATTATTCTCACAGTTCAATTCGGCATTAGCGACACAATACGATATGTCTGTTTGAACAACCTATTTGATGTTGCAGTCGGAATGTTATTCCCACACATTTCAATACAGCATACAATATATCCATTTGAACATTCTATTGATGTTAGAGACAGATAACTTATCCCACGGTTATATACTGCATTAACAACAGAATACTATGTCTGTTTGAATATTCTGTTTCATGTCGTTTGATGTAAACCGAAATCACACGCTCAGTGATTGGTTAAAGAATATAAACTGTATAGATATAAAGAGCGGTTTGATCAATGAAAAATATACCTTGGCTTCCATGTCTTGCCTTCTGTCGTTAAACCTGGACTTCTCAAAAAAGACTATATTATATTACGCAGAACACTGAAGACTGTAAGCAGTTACAGTAAGTGGTGTGCCTTTGACTCAGTTAACAGATATTATTGTCAATAGGCATTTCAATTCCTGCAAGCAGTTGGCTGAAGTTATCTTGTCTGATACCGAACATCCTCTCTACTTATTCTCAACTTTTGCCTTGTCTCTCTTCGAGTAAGACCAGAAGAAACTTCATAAGAATTTACGCTCGTACAACTAAATATAAAAATCCTACCCATACCATATTTAACACGGGTTTTGTGTGTCAGAAAAGAACTTTTTAAATCAGTAACTGAACTGCAAAGTATAAGCAAACATTATTGCTAAATGTATTATCTCTGATACCTACCAACATTCTCTTTATAGTGATTTCTTTATTAATATTATTATTACTATTTTAAATCTTATGTATGTACATATTTATAAAAGGCGATAAATTGTTGCAATATGTATAAAAAGGCTGGAAATTTCATTATCTATAGGATTTCATCATGAGATGACATTGGTTAGAGAACCATTGGAAAACCTGGTAGTACTGCACAGCTGTTTCGACCTAGTTTGGGACTCTTCATAGTGCGCACCCACCGGAGTTCGAACCCAGGACCTTCTGGTTACAAGGCGAGCTCGTATACCATTAAGCCACTGGGACCCGATCCAATGGCCCATGAATTCTAACTTCTGCCAATTCACGATATAGCGCAACAGCTAGCCAATGTCTTCGGCGAGTATTTGTCCTCACACCCGACCTGCTGCACCCTACTGGTCACGACTTCCCACTGGAACCCCAGGTAACTAGCCACCTGAATAGGACCAGTCGCCATTCTATATAATTATTACTTTTTGGAATGAGATGATTATTATCACTGTTATTGTTATTAAGCTATACACTTACACTGTTTACCTGTAGTTTCATTGAAAATAAATTTTTTTTGTCACTTAATGTTGACAAGGAAAGTTGTCCAACAGCTATCATAGAAATAATTTTGTGTATTTTAGATCAAAACCTCCCTGTATGTTCGCTTTCGTTTCATCCCAAGTTATCTGTAGGGACATAACAAATACGGCCTAAAAAATGTAAATCTCAGTATGGTGATAATATGCAATTCTCACTAAAAAAGACACAGACTACCAAATGTATGTGATGTCTTACGTAAAGGCACTATAGAAACTGAAATAGTTCAGTATAGTTTATTATGTGAACTGAGAAACTATCCATACTGTTTATGCTAATCAGTAAATGTCACCTGCACAACCGCGAATATTTTCAATTTGCTCAGCCAAACTGCTTAATGATTTGAAGAGTTATAATGGATTCCTTTAGCCTTAATCAGAAACAGAGAAATAATATGATTCCTGACATGTGGTCCGCGGTCTGATATCACTCACTTTCTTTTCAAACTGAACAGTTGTCAATAATTCTCCCACATCAGATAATATTGAAAAATTAACACCTTCAGTGGTATACAAGGCAATACTCGTTTACACTTTCATATCCTGCTGGTGTGAACCGGCAGTTAAGCGGTAGGATGCTCGATTGTTGGCCAACGCACATTCCTAAACGTCACCTAGTTTCCTAGCCAATAGTAGGCCTGGAGAAAAGAAAAAGTTGCACGTGAGACTTCCAGCTACATCCAGTAAAAAAACAACACCATAGCGATTGAAACATCAAAAGCCTGCAGCCAAATGGGGAAAAAATCCGTTTTATTTTCAATAGTCGATTTGTAAGGATCAGATTTGTTTTTCGAGTTTGACCACGGATTGATATCAGTTAGAGAACCACTGAAAACTAGGGAGTACTGGACAGCTAGCTGTTTCATCCTATTTTGGGAATCATCGTCAGTACGCACCCACTAGGGTTCGAACCAGGACCTACCAGTTACAAGACAAGCTCGTAGACCATTCAGCCACTGGCACCCTATTCAATGGCCAGTGCATGAATTCTAACTTCTACCAATTCGTGATGCATTCAGCGTGACCACCAACCAATGTCATCGGTGGGAAATCCATCCTCACTCAGGAATGGATGGATCTCACTGGTGACGACTTCTCACTAGAACTCCAGGAAACTCTGTCCTGTAGCAAGTCACTATCGAGCGTCAGATTAATTTTCAAGAGTTGATTTATAAGGATTAGATTTGTCATTATTAGAAATACACTTTTCACACTTCAGTTTTTTTTTTAAAACAATACTTTCAAGTAGATTATTTCTTTCAGAAAAATTGGCAAAATAAAGACAGTAATGGTATTGAAATCTATACGCATAAAACACCAATCAGTTGTTGACTTCATACCCAGAAAAGAAAGTGGTAGCTAACAAATCGATGGCTATTCTGAGTAGGCGCATCCACATTGCTTAGACCGTTCATGTATCTAACCGCACAAGAAAGGAATTCAAAGTTTAAGATTTGCCTTCAGTATTGAAAATATAATAAATTTTGCAAGCGCAGAGTATTGTTTTTCAGCATTACATAAACTAACAACTCAATAACTACCTATCATCGAAAGTTGTCTTTATTCAAAGTACTAGTCAGAACAAACCAAAATAGATTAGTAAGTGCTCAACCTACGGGACAAGGGTAAAAGATAGGCTCTGAGGAGAATGCACTCAAATGTTAGTTTACTGGTTAGGTTTATGAAACTTTCATTGACTGAATACCTCACTCCAATAAACATACCAAAAAGGTAATTTGACTTGATGACGGGTGTTTTAATAAAACCAGAAGCAAAGACCTATTATACGCCCTAGTTAGCTTGTATTTTTGAGCTTTGTAAGGATATTGTCTGTCACTGTGACTACTAACCACACTGATATACCTTTCACTATGTTAAGTTAGCAAATATCCTACTTCTGCTTTTCATCACTTCATCTCCTCTCAATATGACATGTTCCTAGTTGTATGCATTGATGAAATGCCAATTAACTTTGAAGAAAAACCCAAACAAATGTAGCAATGAAGTTCAAACAGAATTAAAATCATTTAAATATATACACTGTACACATATATACTCACTTCAGGTGTGCCATATTTTCTTCTTACCGGTGGTGTATAATATGATGAATAAGGATTACTAGCTCCTGTAGTACTTGTATTACTACTGTTACTAGTAGTATTTAATGCAGTCGATGTTGAGGATAAATTACTGCCACCAGAATTTCGATATCTTGAACTGCTACGTCTTAATCCACCAATTCCACTGGAATAGTAGTTTGAACTACTCAAACTACTAGGTGAAGTGTAATTTGAACTTGGCGTTGTAAGATGTGAAGCACTCGATGAGGACGAGGAGGATAAACCACTGAGATAAGTGCCAAGAGGTCCACCGTATAACATATTGCTTGACTTGTTTTATTATTATGTGTATATACGTGTGTGAGTGGGTCACTGAGTCAGTTAGTTATTAGAAAGTGAGTTGTATCAACAGAAAAAAAGTTCAAATTGTAAAACAGAATAGCTTCTTTACATGTATAAGTGATACTAATAAGAGAAACGAAAGTATTATGATTCAGTTTGTGAATGAAAGCGAAATTGATGAATAAGCAGATTTACTGCATCTATCCATATCGGATGTTATGTCTGATTCAGTACAATGCCTCGTGAAGTTAAGCTAACAATAAGTAATGATAATAGACCGCGTCATTGATGGTAATTGTATACACATATACAATTAAATATATTGAAGGCAAAAGTAAGCTACAAAGAATACGCAATACAATTAGAATTAGACGTGTCTTTCAGCTCCACTTTTGTACACCAATCTATGTGTGTGTATCTATCCTACGGACAAATTTCTGTAGAGGTGTATGCTTAATAAGCTTTTTATTGGCCAACAAATGCACCGAGTGAATACACATTGAACAATCGATAGTCTGTAATACAATCATTTCTTTTTCTTTTAATAATAATATTAATAATCAAAGATGAACAATTTGTTCAGTCCAACATTTCTCAAGGTCAAATCAAAGTGTTCATCCACACAGAAAGCAGTGTGATTGTGCACTGGATTAATAGAAGCTGATGGAGAGACAAACACACTAGCGAATAATAAGCTGAGAAAAGTGATAGAATCCCTTCAATGTTGTAAAATTACAAAGAAAAATTACAAAATACGGGTTTCCTGTGTTTGTAAGTGTGGTAAGATGGCACAAAGTTGGATAAATTTCCCTCTTCCTTCCTTCCTGCCTTCCTTCGGTAAACAGTTGCACATTAACCTAGCTTTGAAAAACAAAAAGCAGTGTGCTTTACAGACATCAGCTACCCCAGTGACTGTGTACACGATTTTGTGTGCACAAATAGGTAACTAGTTTTTCCTCCAATATTTCGTATACAACAAAATATGAAACGGCATGTATGTACACACAGACAATTATGACGATTGTTTTCCACTAGCGATCGATTAAGGTTAGTCTTCTTCAAACCTTCAAGTAATAGTAAGAAAAAGCAGAAGAAAAGCATCGTGATTAGCGTTTTTCCCATGAGAATGAATCAACACGACTAGTTGATCCCTTTTGTAGATATTCTGCTACCGGTAAGATATTACGTGGATGGGTGCTTTGAAGAAGACAAATAAACCGGGTGACCAACAGGTAAGCACCATAGACCAATAGCACGCATCTGTGTATGCCCGAGACGTGTTCCTTATTAGCTTGTTTATTAGATGTATCACACCGTGAAACAGTATTATTAACTGGATGACGTTTCGAACAAATTTTTTCGAACACATTGACTCAAAGGTGGAGGCAATTCAATTCACTTATGAATTGGAAAGTCAGGAAGGGAGACTTACAATGTTAGGTTGAAGTGTAAAAAGGAAAGAAGGTGGGAAGTTAAACACTAGTGTTCACAGGAAACCCACACATTCAAACAGATATTTGGACTTCCAATCATCCCATCCTATGTCAGTAAAAATAGGATTGATGAAATGTTTGATTAATAGGACACAGAAACTAAGTAATCTAAGACAAGAAGTAAGGCATAAAGAGAAGCTTTGAAACTTAATAATTACCCTGGTAAATTAGTCAGAAAGTATGTGGGGAAATGTAAAGATAAATAGTGATAGTAGTGATAGTAATAATAATAATAATAGTGAAATTAATGACGACATGCACGTCAAACATACACAAGACAACACCAACAGTAAGGAATCTAAATCATCAGCACTAATCCCACACAAGGAAGGAACCTCGGAAACCACCTTATGGAGAATTCTTAACAAGGCAGGAATAAAAGTGACATTCAAACCCACAAACTCAATTAGAAACAAGCTTTGTCGGTTAAAGGATCAATCCTGTGGAGCCTTTAAAACAAAACAATTTAGTTTATCTCATACCCTGCAATGATTGTCAGGTCAAATGCATAGGTCAAAGTAGAAGAACAGGGACAGTCAGACTAGCCGAGCATAAAAACCTAGCAAAATCTAGATTGCTTGACCCGAATAAAATAAGAAATCTAGAGAATAGTTCAGCTATAGCACTACATGCAGTCACACACAACCATACAATAGGATGGGATAGGATGACAGTTTCAAAATCTAATGTCACAGGGTATAGGGAGAGATTGATAACAGAAGCTTTGTTTATCGAATCAACTGCAAATACATGTAATAGGAATGATTCATCACCTGTCCCCGACATCTGGAAAATTCTACTACCCCAACGACAAATAGAAGAGAACAAAGAAAACCATAAAACTCAAGTCCCAAAGTCGTGTGATTATAATTGATATGATTATGAACAATAAATTCTGTTCGAAATGTCATCCAGTAAATAATACTGTTCCACTGTGTGATACATCTAATAAACAAGCTAATATGGAATTACTTACTACCACAGTGCCCAAATTTTACACATATTTTAATATGACTTATGGTTTTCCTGTACGAAGACTTATCAATAAACCCAAGACGTGTTCTTTTTGTGTGTGCATGGTACTTCATGATTCGAACAATCAGTTCGCACGTCCTCTGAACCTATATTACTACTGACTAGTCTAAAAGAATAAAGGTTGAAAAATTCAGCATTAATGTCGCATAAATTTCAAGTGACTGTTGAAATTATGCAGACAAACAGTGGAAAAGTTAAGCAAAGTTTGCCTAAGAGATATCCATCGTGATTAGTATATTGTGTGGTTTACCACTTCATATGTTGACCAGAGTAAATATCCTTGTTCACAAGATGATATCATAATGCCAGAGTACAGCTAGCCGTGTATGTGTGTGTACAGAATAACTAAATAATTCCACTAAACCCTTGACCATAAATAGCACAGATCAACTTGTATTAAGTAATGCATTAATCAGGTGTCTCCGTTGTACAGAAATCCCGGTTAGATATTGATTTATTTTTCTCCTATATCTTTTCTTATTAAAACGATGGGAATACAGGAATTTAGCTGAATAGCTGTGAGAAAAACTCGGCAATCTCAAGGCATGCATTAACACAAAATCCCACGATATGTTGGGACAGAGATACAGTTGTAAAAAGTAATGTAGGTAGGTGGAAGGAAAGATTGATCATTGAATCTTCACTCGTCGGATCTACACCAAACACTTGCTATAGGCTTGACACACCACCAACGACAGAGATATAGAAAATATTATTGCAAATAGAATCAAAGGATAAGAAATAATGGAATTGCAGAAATAAAGTCTGAAAGTTATGTGAGCAGCCACCTTGATATGATTGTGAGCAATAATTTGTTCTCAAAACGTCATCATCAGTAAATTACGTTTTTTTTAAAACTGTAGGCTTTTATCGAATAAATGTACTCTGTTATGAAATTATACTCTGCCTCACAGTCACTAAATCTTATTTTTTCTATTAATCCAACCAAATCTGCATTCATTGAAGATAATATTACTTTTAATATTTTGGAGAAAATTGCTTCCTTATATATATTGAGGTTAGGCGTCGAGTGCTAGGTAAGATAAGGAGCGGAAATCAATCGACGAGGGTGCGAAATTACATCGATTGAGATGGTGAGGACTTGTTTTATGCATGCATCCCTAGTCGTCGCCTTCCTTTACCAACAGTGTTAGCTGACACAGGATAGATCAGGTTGGAAAAGAGTTAGCTGGTAGTGGTCAAACCAAAACATGGTTTCATCAATCAATGAAATCCACAACAGTTAGTTTAAGTCAGCCACTTTGGGAGGTATCGACTTCCTGGTTGGGGTTCTCAGGATGATAAGAACCAATGATGGCTGGAGACAATTGATGATATGGCTGAAAATCGTTCTCAATGATGGCGCAAATGCATCCATTCTTTGTGATTTATCATATCCAATAAAATTCTATTGTTCTCCCATATAACTATCCTTTTCGCTTCATATTTCTGTTTATTATGTCTAATTTTATTTTTAATCTTTCTTTACTATCTCCTCTTGTTTGTGTGGAGTGCGTCAAGTCGAACTACTGTACATCTGTGCAAAGTTCTACGCTGAAACTATTCATATATATATATATATATATATATGGGTTTTTTGCTTTTCGTAGTTGCACTGGTTAATCAGCCTTGATTTTAGAACTAACAAGATGGTGTATGCGTGTGTGTGTGTGTGCGCATAATCAATAAACGTTGTCAAAACGGTCATCTCAAGCGGAGCAGCACTGTCACTAAATCAATGAATGAATAAGTCCGTAAAAACAAATTACTGTGTTTGCTTGTTTCATTGTTTATTTATTTATTTATTCGCTTATTGATTAGTTATTTATCAATTTAGCGTTATTGCACTTTAATTGTTTAATCAGGAATTCTCAAAGAAGCAGGTTTAGTGACATGGAAAAATGGTTCACATGGTCTAGTTGATAACACTGTGTGTCTGTGGTCCAGCGGTAGATTACACACCAACAGCGAACATGGTCTGGGATTCGATCCTGCCCCCCTGACTCACTCTAAAACCTCTCTTAGGAGGTAGTAAGCCCAATAAAGATGGAAGGTTGGACGTGAGTTAGCAACCCCATCCAGTAAAAAAATAAACACCACTGCTACTGAAACCTCAAAACTGAAGCTTGAGGCCCTACGTTCCAGTCAGAGTGCAGAGAAATAAAATGTTTTAAAAATACGAAATGGCTGTGTATTCGAGACAGCTTTCTACGATTAGTGCCTTTGGAAGTGTCTGCACAAGCGTAAAATCGAATAGTTGTATCATTTGGCAGTGTTGTGTATTATCTGAGTTGGATAACTTAATTTCCCATTTTAAACAGTATTTTGAGAGCTCAGAGTAAAAACACAGAAACACCAAAGAACATCTGCTTCATTTAAAATGTTCCACTTCACTACTTTAAGACATTTGTATAAGTAGAGAAAATGAGTAAGAATAAATATGTATTGTCTCTTTCACTTATCACTACAGCATTGTTCCAATAGTCGGTGATGTGGTTGATGTCAAAGACAGTCAGCATAGAATCGGGAAAGTAACACGACTGTTCATTACCCTGAAATTTGAGTGGAGATCTACAGCAATCAGAGCAAGGAACAACAACCAGATTCCCTACACTAGCGTAAAGTAATTGTTTCTCTACACTTCAAAGACTTGGTGCACCTATCACCAGAAGCATTACCAACAGGTTAGAGACTAGCGTAAACATCTGCCTCTGCTCGATACTGAAGATCATATGGCCGACTAGACAGGATAATGAACACAGAACTCTGGCAGGAAACCATTCAACAACCTATTATTCAGCCAAAAAGTATACAAACGGAAATGCAGATGAATTGGAAATAGCCTGAGAAGACTACTGCATGACACTAGACTCCACGCCTTCGAGTAGAACCCGAATGAGAAGCAACGAGTTATGTGAGAATCTGAGGACGACAAGGATAAGATCATGTGAAAAGGAAATGAAAGCTTGAGGGTAGCTGTGGAGGGGGAATGAAAATCATGTAGGGCTGAAGCTCTATGTTCCACTGGGAACGCAAGGAACGAGTAAATGTCCAGTTAAGAATTTTCAATGAAACACTTCGAAATATGTGAAA